ATCCCTCTCTCTCTCAGTCCTGGTCCTCAAGGAATTATGAGAAGTTAATATAAAGACTGATTCAGGTTTGTATGCTAGCTTTCGAAAAAATATTTCATGATTTTTAATGTAAACATAACTGGGTAAATGGTGATCTTTCTTTAACTATCTGCCTGGAGTTCAGGCTTATGCTGATTGTATGAAAGCTGTTAATTTGTAGCTAATCTGTTAAATGCCAGCAGCTGATAAATCTAACTGCCTCTAGGAACATTGACTGCTTTGTCAACCACCAATATGTCACTAAATATAGGTATCAGGGCAGTCAGAGGCAGATATCATAGGGGTCATCAGTAACCCCTATAACACCTTTATGTCCTGAGTAGATTAGAAGTTAATTGTACATAGGGAAGGAACATTCAACATGAACAGTTTTTTGTTTTTTTTACATTTGTGCAGAGATGCTGCTTCTGCCTGTAGGCAACAAGAGTTGGTTAGTATGCTTTACCCTAGGTTATCTTAAAGTGGACCTTTACCCCCTTTGACTAAAAATCACATCAGCATGCAGCTCTACAAATCATCTTCCATTTATTAGATTAAACATATTTTTATTTTTATTACAATTTCTTTTTTTCCACTTTCTGGTCTACTTTGGCCCAAATGATGCAATTGTGCCCAAACATTGCATCCTGGGAAGGTTACATCAGCAGAACATTGCTGAAAAATCTAATCTGTAATCTCATAAAATCTCAGGGAAAGGCCTTTTCCTCCCCTAAGATGATGTGCATGGTCACATGTCCTAGTCACATGTGTCAGAGTTCCAGGGATTAAAGGGAGATCTAGTAACCTGCTCTTAGTTAAAATGGCCACTGTCAGTAGACTGGGGAAGATAAGAAAAATAAGGTATGCAAAAAATAAAAAGCCTGCAATTACCTAGAAGTAACTGTAGATTGTCATTACTAAACATTTCTAAAGGTGCCTTTGCTGTTATTTTGAAGATATGGGTAAAGTTCCTCTTTAACTCAATAATGAATAGAGCACATTATTCTTCAAAATAATCATGCATATATATATATAGGTATAAAATGCTGCATCACTAAACTTTTCATTACCTACTTCACCACCGGTGTAGAGGTCAGAGCCTGTCGGATGAACGACAGCATCGCTTTCGAGGTTGGCAATGTCAGCCTTTACAACTTGCAACTATAATAGGCAAACACATGTACGTCAACCAGGTTGGATAAGGGACATATGGTGCATTCATTAGTTTAACTTGTTCCTTGTATTCCTACCTTGAAACCTCATGTATATAATTGAAATCCACCTGATTTTTTAATTACTGAAAGGAGCAGAAGTGGAGGTGTTCATGAAAGCAAAATTATTTTAAAAATGTATTGAATTCATATAAATGACTTAAGAAAAGATCTCACGCCATAATGATTGTGAAGTATAATAGGTTGGTTGTAGTTTCTTAAACTCAGTGTATCACACAAAAGCATTTGTTTTAGAACTTTAAAGCTTCTTCCACAATATCTGTCTCAGTGCATAGATGGTTTTTAAACCCTAAGGGTCACCATACACGTTATAATTTGACCATACAATCTTTGGACAATCAACTTTAGATTTATCAAAAACTAATAATGTAATATGAGAACTTACCTAATCAATTTGTATCCAATTAGGCAGGCTCCTGCACTACATAGTAGTTGGTAAATCTAAAGAAGATTGTACAATCAGACTGTAACGTGTGTGGTGAGCTAGCTTAACATATGTCACAAGTTCTATACAGATTCAAATGCCAATTCCAGATCTCTAAATGCTACTTTTTACAGAAATGTTACTTTCTTATTTAATCATTTCTTTTGCCACTGTGCATAAAGAGGTGAGCTCGGGCAGTTGTGTAAGGAACACAAACATAGTGGGGTTGATTTACTAAAGAAGTAGAGGCTGTTCACATAGCAAAGTGACTGACAGTACAAAAGGTAGACCTGTGTTCACTTTGAATACCTAATCATGTGTGGGGGAAAATAAAAATAAAGTTTTTGGTAAAATATGATTGAATGATTAAAGTAAAGTAAGAAGCTTCACCTTAATAATTGAGCTCAATGAACATTCACTTTGTGATCAGTCTACTCCATCACATATATGAATTTAGAGGTTTCAGGGTAGATTCTTTAAGACCTTAAAGAAACTCTGTGCTGTAAAAATCTGTTGACCAACGCAGATCTGCTTTAGTGCAGACCTCCCCAAATGCAAATAATTATAGTGATATTAAAGTAAAAAGGGTTTAACTTATTTCAAACGATGATTTTATCTCTTAGAGTGAATGTTGCTCCTTGATGTTTAAAAGGTTTTGTTTCCTGCAGAATAAGCTGGTCCCTTGCAGGGTCCTATAGAGCCACCCTTCGGTGTGCTAGTAGGATGCGTGTGTCTCCACAAACCCACAGGTACAGCAAGGCAAGCCACTCCCCTCCCTCCTGCTTCTCTTTTTTTCCAGTCTCCAAGCTAGAAGATGAACAGCTGCTGAAGACTGTGTTGTCCTTTTTGATCTTGTACTGGACAGGAGGTTCAGGCAAGCAGAGCTGATAGAGTTGGAGTCAGCTGTTTGGAAATATAATAAATGTGCTTGGGCAAAAATGTAAAAAAAACATTGTTGGCTTATGTATATTTGATCTGGATTCAATCTGACCTGGATTCAGTTTGAGAGTTTAATACTACTTTAAACTTCATTCTACTCCCTTTCTGCTCCATTTAGCTGCCGGGAGCAAAAGCCCCTGTGTAGGCTGCAAATAGCTGGAGTCTTCATTGACACTGAATTATGGACTCCCCGTAACAGTGCTGATCGGAGGTCACATGCTCCTCCATACCCATCACTAAAAGGTATTTCCTTTCAGCTCCTGGATGGGCTGTTACCTAGTGGTGGGGCTGAAGGAATGGCACTAATGGAGGGAAGGGCATTAAAATGAACCTGTTGCCTTGCCCTGAATGTGCAAGCATACGGTTCACATGAGGATCTTAATAATGTATTCTACATTTTATGTGCAGCTGTCTGTAACTTATCTTGATCAGACATTATAAACTAAAAAAGGCTTACTACAGTTTAGTTTTCTTGAAACTGCTAAACAAGGATGTGAGCTGTGTGTAGTTAAAACCTCTATACATATTACCTATCTTTACTAGTTATGCTCCTTTCTGACTAGGAAATCCTCTGTAAGGTTGTGGGCCTCATAGAAAATATATTCTGAATAATAGAAACATAGAACATTTTATTTTGTCATCTTCTAATATCTTAAAATACTGAGAATGATTAATAAAGTAGATGACTTAAAGGGTCTTTGTCAAAGTATTCACCAAAGATTAATACATTTTAAATAGAATGCAAAGTGAAATTTTTTTTTTATAAAATGTATTATTCATGATCTGATGTTGGACCAGTAATCTCAACCCATCGATGGTCTCCGCATAACCCAGCCTGACACTGTATACATACTGCTGTAAATTGTATAAGCTGCATTTCTACATTAGGTCAGCAGAAACTTACAGAGAGTCTTACAAAGAACCTTATTTGGAATTAAAATTATTCTCTCACCTTACTAGGCCAACATCCCAAAACTTTCCTATTTATGAGAGTTGTAGGATTTCTATATTAAGCAGTGTGAGCACTAATAACACAGAAAAAAAGACTGATTAAAATGATTTCTGGAAAAAGTAGCAATACTTTTTATACACTATTGATTAAGATTGTTTTGGTTTCTTGAGTAATATTCTTGTAAAGACAGTGGTGGGGTTTACATAATTTTAATAAGTTGATGTCGACAGTCAAACCTTATCCAAACTACAACCAACTTTGCCAAATGAAATAAAAGCAAAATATTAAGAAGACATGAGTCTCATCAGAAGATAATTTCTTAATCTTTCTTACTACAAGTGAGGAGCTACATATAAAATATGTTTGTGTGTCTAATAAAAACATCTGATACTGAGCATCTCATTTCTAGTTCATAATGAGGACTTTATAATGCTTTACATGGCATGTAACAAACATAATAAATAAAGTAAACTCAAGGAGGCCTGACATTTCCACAGCTTCCTGAATATCAACAAAAGTGATTGACATACTGCTAAAAACCTATCAATGATAAAAATCTTATTAAATATGTGAATGGAGCTAAAGTATTTTATTTAGATGCAAGCCATGTAATATAGAAATTAAGAGTAAAGAGTTCTTTCTGAAACATGATTTAATTTTATTATACACTATTAGGCTGGGCACACACCTTACAACCATCGCAAGACTTTGCAGATCGTGCTTGCAATTATCGCAAGCCATGCCCCCTGAGTGGCGGGCTTCCGATGACCGCAATGCCGAACGGGCAGTGTGCGCTTGCGCACACCGGCATGTCCGGCTTTTATCTTGCGAACATGCTACAGACCCGCCGAACATCATACGATGCTCGGCGGGTTTTGAAACATGTTCGGTTCGTAAGTTTAAAGTCGTGCGACCTTACAGTAGTAGAGGTCGCACGGCTTCCACACACCTTACGATAATCGTACGATCGCGGGATTTCCCGCGATTATCGTACGATTATCATAAGGTGTGTGGGGACCTTTAGGTTAAATTACATGTGTCTGCTAACCTAAATAATGCAAGTTACATTTGCCAAAAAAGTAAATTGGGTTAATTTTAAATGATTGTTTTTCAAATATCACGCTAGCCAACTCTGGTTATGTGAATTATTAGTTATAAAATCAAACTTTTTTGAACAATATTGGACTAAAAAGTGCAAGCAGTGCAAAAGTGAGAAATTATCTTCTGTGAGAAACTGCAAATGTAAAAAAATTAAGTGTAGAGAAAAAAACAGCTAACAGTGAGAGATAATTATAGAAGAAGAATATCAAAATTCTGGGGATCTTGCTTAATTAAAATTAAAGTGTTGGAATTTGAGACATTTACTGTTTTGCAGTTTTGGAATCTATAATTATTGCTCGACAGTTAGCTGATATAAAACCCACGTCCCATTTACCTATATCATCTTTAAGGTCAATGTCAGCATTTGTAGGGTTGATAACAGCCTCCACCTCAAATCCGGCTAAATTACTGATCTCACTGTGAATAAGGTTCAGCTGCAAAGAAAAGCACGAGCGGGAAGATAGTAGTGCAGTGGGAAGAGGTCAGAAAACGAGTAAGCGATAGAGCTGTATGCAGGATTGTCAAAATTAAAATGTTACAGGAGTATAAAAAGCAGCAGCAGTTAGTATGTAGTCCAAACAATATCTATGGCTAACCAGTAGCAAGTTCCAGTTATTACAACACACATTTTTCACCATTCAAACATCTCAGCTTTCAAAAAATGTAGAGCTTGGTGTCTCATTGATCTACTGTATGCAGAATGTCTTGAGTGTTGTCACATGGGGTATGAAATGGTGCCTTAGTCCATAATTAAACTGGCTTTCAAAATGTTGGTATTTGCAACAGATTTTTTCAGAATTGAGGCCATACCTTCAAGAAGTTTGCTGTAACACTGGAGGTTTACACCTCTCGTGTTTAATATATGGCAACACTTTTAGTTGGAAAATTTTTTGTAAAATATATCTAAAGGCAAAACTTTGTAGGGTTATAACTCATGTCAGTTGTTTTTTTTTGCCATCTGTGTCTCATTAGGAAGATTTCCTTCACTTCCTGTCCTGTAGACTCAACAGGAAATGTGAGGATATCTTTAAATGTAAGGGAACTCCCCTCTTAGACAATTTTTATGGAAACAAGTGTCCCCATTGGAAGATTTTTCCTCTATTCCTGTTCCTGAGGCAACAAAAAAATTTGGATTTTGATGACACTGGTGATCAAGATCATGGAGTGGATTTCCCTAACAACCAGCAATAAAAACTTTTCAGAGGTTCTAGCTGATCACCATTATATCCAAATGTAAAAAAGTTTTGCTTTTAGTTATACTTTAAGTACAAGATATCTTTAAAGAGACTTTGTCCCTGGGCTGAAGGAGGACAAGCTGCTGGAGGTAGGAAGAGTAGGCACCTAGAGGTGTGTGTACATACTTTCAGTAACCTCCCAAACCTTCCTGTTATGACAGAATGCCAGAGCATTCTGACCGAAAAAGGTTTGCACTCTACCTCCTGCACATTCCTATTGGCCGGTGAGGTTTAATACCATAGTGTGGGGTGGGGCTTGAAACTACAATATGTTAGTTTGCCTGCTATACAGACCCAACATTCAGTCAAGACATACAGTTTCGGGAAGCTGATGAAGATATATGCAGTCACCCAAGCAATTTGTCCCCTACAGCAGTTTGCCTCTTTCTCCCAGAGGCAGTCTCTTGTTTGAGTACCCATAAGTCCCTTTAAGGACCAACACACAATAATGTTTAAACAATAAAGGAGCACACAGGTGAGGTCACTATATATATATATATATATATACATATATATATATATATATATATATATATATATATATAATGTATATATCTATAAATATATATTTATTTATTTATTTTTTATATTTAAAATGGCCTTTTATTAAATAATACAATTGACCTACTTGCAAATAGTCTATTAATGTAATTCACAAACAAGTATGTAAAAGTAGTTTTATTTGACATCCCTCTATATATATCATTGTACTAACAATGGGGGATTGTTTATGTTCCTTCCTGTTCACTATGACTGTGTGATACAAGTAAGCCTTTTCTTGTAATTACACATCGGTGATAGCGATCTGATTATCCGATTTTAAAATGGTGCTTAATCGCCAACATTCACGCATTCAGGAAAACCCCCCAAAGGTACTCTCACCAGATTTTACAAGCTTCCGGGTACTATCTCCATGACAGATGCTTGGAGACACAAACATCCAGTTGTATGTGCTTTCTCCTGTTTCACTTCTACTCACAATGCAATGTCTTGTATTGATATGATATAACTAGGCAGACCACTCCTTCCCATGCTTGTGGATGCTGGCTACCTCCCTAACCTACTCTCAGAACATTTTCCATGCTGGGTTACTATAAAGTGGTCCAAAAGAACCCCACTCCCACACTGTAAATGAAAATATAAAGTCCCTGGGCCTTTTACTCCCTAAATCCCATTGAGTTTCATAGAGCTTCTTTAAGTTTCAGCATGTCTCGGTTCCACACATTACATTTTTTAAGTTTTGTACTCTATGCTAATGTATTACACAGCTTTTTTTTTTCTTCAGAACAGATAGGGCTTACATTTGGTAATCCACAAATGTGGATACTGTCAGGTGCAATAGTCAGGTGTAATACATCGCAATAGGCTGAGGAAGAGTTAAACTATCAAGAGTTTCTCTGTCTGTGACTCTACAAGGGATATCTTTCCTTACTTACTGGCCTTGTGGCATACTGAACCACATATGAAATGTGACGTCCAGTCATCGCTGGGGCAGGAAGCCCCAAACAACAGTAAAAATATTGCCAGAAGTTCTATGCCTCCCTCACTCTACTAAAAACGTGTTTTGTGAGGGGCGTGGCCTGGGAATGGAAGAGTGAAGTTGCACGCTCACTGAGCTCCCAGGCCACAGGCCTTTCACAGTTACCAGACAGCTTACATTTTCCCAGCTGACTTGCCTCTCATATCCCAGTATGGAAGAAGACAGAAGGGAACTCATCTGCCTGGCCTGAAACTGCCATGGACCGCTTCCTGAAGGGAAACTGACAGTCGTCTGCTGCAGCTGAGACCACTCCTAAGATGGTGCCTGGGCCTTCCTTTGTGGCCAGCAGAACCCAGAGTCGCCTAGAGACTTACCATCGGCTACTACCAAGGTAGGGGATCACACCATGCCTCCCTGTTCCCCACTGAGCGATCTTTCACCGGGACTCTCCAGCTCCTTCCTCCCCGCACACTCCTTTGACTCCAAGGACAGTGAACGAGGGTATTCACCAGCTACGGCCGGTGATCCCCTCGCGGACTTCTCCCTGTCTCAACCTCCAGTGGACTTTTTTGTTACGGGCCTCTGCCCCTGCAGTCGAGATAAATCCCATGGCTGCAGCAACCGCTGGGGAGAAGGCCCTATGGAACCTTATACAAAATCAGCCTCCCGGGCTGATTTTGAGGCTGTGGCCTTTAGAGTAGAGTCGGCTTTGGTGGAGTAGAGTCCAGCTGTGGTGAAACTACAAATCCCATGATGCATCTCTCTCCAGAAGTCATGTCTGTGACTGTGAGAATCTTGCAATGCCTCATGGGATTTGTAGTTCCACCACAGCTGGAGGGTCGGAGTTTGGCTACCCCTGGTCTAGAGTATCCACTGTGGAACAGGAACATGACTCAATCCGTGGTATGGTCACGGCTCTAGACTGCTCATATGCGGACATGACTTCTTGTACTACTCGCCTACAGCTTCTTATTGATGACTTGGGGAATCATAGCCGCTGGCCAAATATCCGTATTAAAGGCATTCCTGAAGCCACTGCTTTCACCGACTTGGTGCTCTACAGTCCTGGGAATATTTAACATGCTGCTGGACCGGCCTGCTCAGAGATATTGACTGACCGAGTGCACAGAACCATTGGCTTTTGGAACCCAGATGCAACACAACAGAGGGCTGTACTGAGTCCCCTTCACTCCTACACACTTAAAGAAGAGATCCTTCAAAAAGCCTGGCGAAAGGGCTCATTTAAATTCGATGGAGCCTCAGTTCATCTTTATCCAGATGTATCCCGTAAAACCCACAGATGCAACGCGCAATGAAGCCCTGGATGCGGTAAGGTCTCGAGGGCTCGCGTACAAGTGGGGACACCCTTTTCAATTAATCATCCGCAGGAGTAACTCTTTCTTTACCTTGCGGCAGCATAGGGAACTCTAGGCTCTTTTTGCTTTTGGGGAGATGCCTCCAATATCAATCCCAGATTGGCTTGCAGATTCTTCGACTGCAGCTCCTCCTTCTCATGAACCTAGACCAAGACACAACAGGAGATTTAGACGACAGTCTCCATCATCTGCTTCTGCTCCCGAGGACCCTGAGTCCTGACAGATATTGACCTTCCAGGAGTACCTTTGTGTGTGTTGTCGAATGAGCAACATTTGACTAATGACTTCTGGGGTACTAGTTTTTGTAATTTTCAGGTTCTAGCCTTGTTGGATTGGATGCTGCTGAGATGTTCTACTCATATGCACAGATTTTGCATTTCTGATTGTTTTATTTTGGGGGGGGGATACGAGATGCACTGATTTAATGCATTCTTCTGGTTTCTTAATTAGGGGGTTTATGGGGTGGCTAGCATGTGCCCTTCCCTGGTGGGCCCCCGATGGAGTGCCCCTTTTCTGGGGGTCTCTGGCTGGTCTTCTCGGGGTTTGGGTGCGAGGGCCAGGCCGCCCAATGCTTTCAGTAGACAGTTTTACTTTCAGTATTTACAACCTTAGACCATCTTTGCTATTGACTTATTGATATATTGATGAGATCCCTGTGGGGACTGCCTTTAGTGGCTTTCATATCCACTCATTTTAAAGTGGCTAATATTCCCAAGCTGTAAAATCATTGTTTCCCTACTGTATATCACAATCCCTCTCTTTCCACTAAATCAAAGGGAGTCAGCATTCTCCTTACTAAATTACTAGACAAACTTTCAGATGCAGAGGGCAGATACTTGTTTTTGAAAGGCCGCATTCAAGATTTTTACTTTAGCGAATGTTTATCTTCCCAATGTCAATCAGATTTCCTTTTTGGAATCTCTCCTGGACAGGTTGGAGGAGTTCATGGAGGGCATGTTGATCCTGGGTGGCGATTTCAATCTGACTCTGGAACCCACACCTGACTCCTCTAGGGGTGCCACTTATTTGTCACTGGCCGTGCAAAACCATACCTGTAAGACCTTGCATAAATTCCAATTACTTGATGTGTGGCGAGTGCTCCATCCTTGAGTGAACGGTTTTACGTATTACTCGGCGGTTCATGACTATTACTCGCGGATAGTTTTCTTCTTGACCAAACATGCCGTTTTTCCTTTGGTGTCTGGTGCAGAGATAGGTCAGATCACTCTTCCGGACCATGCTCCTGTTTCTCTGACGCTTCAGCTCTCCCCTTCGTCTGCTCAATCTTTTAACTTAGTGACTCAATGAAACTGTGATCCAGGATTCCGCAATCAAAGCAGATATCGTGAATGAGTTGTCCACATTTTTCAAGTAGGTTTGGTAGAGAATCCATTGACGGTCTGGGGCAACACATGAGGGCTACATCCGTGGCGTACTTATAAAACATGGCCATCATTAGAAAGGCAGCCACACTTGCAAAAACCAACTACTTACTTAACCACCCGAATCCAACGCCTGGAGCTAGTCCATAAACAGAGGTATTCCAAAGAGATAGCACAAAAGCTGACTTTGTTGAGGGAACAACTCAGGTCCAACTAATTTTACAAAACTAAATGCATTACTATGCGAAACTGATGTAACTTTTACGAATACTGTAATAAATGCAGCAGATCCCTCGCAAATGCCCTTAGGACACAAAGAGTGCAATCCTGTATTCCGGCAATTTCATCTCCCTCTGTATACTTCTTCGGCCATAGCAGACACAGTACTCTTTTTTGATTCGTCCTGGTATAATTTGCATTCCCCAATCTGGGATGATGGATAAACCCTGCGTAATTCCGCTATTGATACCTGTTTGCAAACTTCAAGACTTCCTTCCTTGAGGGCTGAGGAACAAGAAGATCTCCTTTCGTCTTTGACTTCGGATGAACTTACTAGGGCATTGTCCAATACTTGAAGTGGAAAAACCCAGGGACCTGATGGTCTACCAGTTTCTTATTACAAAACCTTTCTGTCACAACTAGCTTATTTTCTAGAAGCTTTCAATGCTCTAACCCAGAGACTCCATCTTCCCTCTGAGCTCCTTTCGGCCTCTATTTCGGCCATCCCAAAGCCTGACAAAGACCCTTTACATTGTGCCAACTACAGACCGATCTCTCTGCTGAATAATGATCTTAAATTGTTTGCTAAAATTCTAGCCCTGCGTCTTACTCCTATTCTGCAGTGTATTGTTTACCCAGCTTTATTCCACACTGAGAAACCTAGGACAACACTGTCTCCACTATTGACCTAATATACAGAGCCAGGATGCTGGGGATTCCCATAATGCTCCTGTCTACAGACGCTAAAAAAGCCTTTGATAGGGTGTCATGGCAATTCCTGAAATCGGGTCCTATCACATATCGGAACGCCATTGCAGATTCAGATGTGGATTAGGGCTTTATAGTCTATGCCTTCTGCAACAGTTAAGGTCAACGGCCACAGTTCCTCCCCCTTTTCTATTATCGATGGCACACGTTAAGGTTGCCCCCTTTCCCCTTTGATCTATGTTCTTAAGCTTGCACCGTTCCTCTGCCACGGTCAGAAGAAAGCTAACATTAAAGGACTTCAGGCTGGAGGGAGACAACACAAAATGTTGGTTAATGCTGATGACCTCCTTTTTTATATCTCCAACCCTCATACGTAACTACCAGTCTTTTTGTCATAATTATAGACATGCGACTCTCTTTCTAACACTAAAGTTCACCTTCAGAAGTCGGAAGCGCTAAATGTCTCTTTTCAGTGCAATCCAACCTAACTTTCCTTTCCGTTGGGCAACCCAGGCCAAATATTCAAAGTGAATTTCCTTCGGTTTCAAGGGAGAGCGGTTCACACCACAAAGTCTGCATTCCAGAGCGTTCGGCCTCTGGAACGCAAGGCAGGCGGTTTTATATCAAAGTCTGTGACTACGTTAGAATGTGTGACCGGTCACGTGGTCACACATTTTAACGTAATCCCGGCCATTTTTTTGGCGGTGGAATGTGTGACCGCCAATATGTCAAGCATTCCAACGCTTTGTCAGCTGTTCCAGGGCAGATTGGCATCGCAGATCGTATGTGCAGGAGAACCGATCTGCCCTGGAACAGCTGATCGGTCCTAAAATGTCACTTCTATCCGACTTTGTGAGTGTGATCTCACATTCCACAAAGTCCTATAGAAGTGACATTTCAGGTGACATTACTCCCCTTCACCTCCAAACTCTTCGAACACCTAATTTACAACCACCTGAGCTGCCACCTCACTGATGGCAATCTCCTTGACCCCTTACAGTCCAGCTTACAGTAACGACTTACTAACTGCTAAAAAAAAACTTACTATTAGACCTTTCTGCTGCTTTTGACACAGCTGACCACCCACTGCTCCTCAAAAAACCACTTGCTTGGCCTACAAGACTCTGCTCTCTCATGGTTCTCCTCCTACCTATCTAAGCGCTCCTTTAGTGTCACCTACAAATCTACCTCTTCTCTTCCCCTTTCTGTTGGGGTCCCCCAAGGTTCTGCCCATGGACCCCTTCTCTTCTCTTTCTACACCTCTTCCCTTGGTCAATTGATCACCTCACATGGCTCCCAATACCATTTCTATGCTGATGACACTCAAATATATCTCTCCACTCCACAACTCATCCCCTCAGTCTTCTTGCGTATCACTAATTTACTAACTGACAAATCAGTCTGGATGTCCAACACTTCTTAAAGCTCAATCTTTCAAAAAACAAGCTCATGGTATTCCCTCCCCCCGTGCACCCTCCCCCAAGTTTTCGATCAGGATGGATAACAGAACTATCCATCCCTCCTCCCATGCCAAGGTATTAGGCGTCATCCATGACTTGGACCTCACCTTTCTGCCCCACATCCAATCACTATCAAAATCCTGCCATCTTCACCTTCATAAGATCCCCAAAATATGCCCCTTCCTCACCAATTAAACCACAAAGCTGCTCATCCACTCACTGGTTATCTCTCGTCTTGACTATTGAAACTCCCTCCTCGGCCTACCTTTACACAGTCCATACCCCCTTCAGTATATCATGAATGCTGCAGCTGCTAAACTTATCCACCTAACCAACCGCTCATCTGCAACCCCCTCTGTCAATCCCTCCACTGGCTTCCAATCGCCCAAAGAATACAATTCAAAATATTAACAACCACTTGCAAAGCCATCCACAACTCTGCCCCAGGTTATATCTCCAACCTTGTCTCAAAGTATCACCCTAACCGTCCTCTCCGTTCCTCCCAAGACCTCCTGCTCCCTCGTCAACTCCTCCCATTCTTGTCTCCATGACTTCTCTAGAGTCTCTCCCATTCTTTGGAACTCCTTACCCCAACCTGTCCGTCTATCTCCTACTCTGACTGCCTTTAGGCAATCACTAAAGACTAATTTCTTCAGGAAAGCCTATCCCACTTCAAACTAACCACTGAACTATCTCTTTTCAACAATTCATCCCTACACAGCCACCTCCTCATGTATCACTTTCCCCTCCCTCTTATATTGTAAGCCCTCACGGGCAGGGCCCTCCTTACCATTGTGTCTTGAATTGTATTGTAATTATGTCTTTCCTATGTTGTAAAGCGCTGCGCAAACTGTTGGCGCTATATAAATCCTGCATAATAATAATAATCAACTTTAATTCAAATATCATCTTTTCCGTAGGGCTCTTTAAACGTTGACATATTTGTTTGTGAATTTCATCAACCATCTTTGCAAGCACCTTGCATGTTCAGTGGCTGTGCATTATTAAAGTATATGTTACCTTTTCTACCACAAAATAAATACATGATGTCTTTCTATATTGTAAATGGCCTATATGCTCACAATTGATTTTTTTTTTTTTTTCTGTTGTCTGAAACTTTCCTGCATGTATTATTCCTCTCCTGAAGCTGTACTAAGTTTAACCCTGCATGACATAGCTACAATAAATGTATAGCAATTATGGCAGCCATATATTATTTACACACAGGAGCTACATGTGCTTACAAATTACACTTGGCAACCAAGAAAAAAAGGACAGAGTAAAGTACATAATTATAAAAGAGTGAACTACAGGTGATTACACATAAGTGAAAAAAAATGAAGAATGCACATTAAATATGTTATAGGTAGAAAGTGACTGTGTGCTTTAAAAATGGGCCAAATTAAAACCATTAACCTGTAACATATATTGTTGATATTCTGCTCCCCTATTACCATAATTTTAGTAGTTAGTAATGATGTAAAAAGTATTGTTGTGATGCATTTGAAGCCTTTTCAAGTCCACTCTATATTTTATACATTTTCTAGATTGTATTACTGTAGCTATTTGATACGTGAGGCATACCTTCTGTCCCAGAAAAAGACTTTTGGTAGAAAGAATAGTGAATCCATTGGCTGGTGCCCCTTCTGTTGTGCTGTCTGCACTTGCTGCTTTGCTAACTTCTCCTTGCTTCTTCTGTGCATACAATGAAGAAATATTTAAGATTTTGTTACAGGGAACACATAATTATATTATGTAATACCATATGTATAACCTAAATAAAAGAATTAATCTAAACATGTAATATCCCCAAATCTACTAAAATGAACACCCGAGCAAACCAGAAACCAATAGTTGCCTAAACTTCTTTCAAAGTGTTTGTATACTGTAACAATAAACTTCTCTTTTTTGCTTATTTGCTACCCTTTGGTCTGTTAAATATATCATCAAAATGTTTTATTATATCTGTTATTGATCATATCAGAAATTCAGAGCTGTCCTTTGTCCTGAGCACACTTCTGTGCAACCCTGCTGAAATGAGTCCACCCAGTTCTTATCTTAAACAGAAAAATGAATCCTTATGCTATGGCGATGATTGAATAAATGGGATTCTGTAATTTAGCAACAGACCATGGGGCAGAACAAACATCAAGTCTTGCCATCCTTTTAGTCCACAAAAATGTATGTGGTGGTCACACCACAAGAGGACATGAGAAGCACATTTCTGGCAGACCAACAAGTATTATCTGTATTTGAAGGGACTTTAAGGGCCAGTTCACACCAATTGTGGTGCATTCCAGAGCGGTAACTGCTGGAACGCACAGCAATCGCAAACTCCCCCCTTCGTTCTGGGCGGGAGGGGGCGTGGTGGTGCATTGAGGTCAATGGCAGCACAGCCTCCCCCCTGCCGTGCAATTGGACATGTGGCAAAACATTGCAAAAACAAAGCAAAAAAATGCTGCATGCTCTATTTTTTTTGTGTTTGCACTGGACCGAAACGCAGGCAATGTATTGCCATGCGTCCGATCACACTGAGGGGGGCATGGCAGAGGTGACATCAATTGCAATGCACTGCCACGCTTTCTCTTGCCCCAGAACGAAGAAGGGGAGTTTAGTGTTCAACTGCTCTGCTTTACAGCAGCTACCACTCTGGAACGCACCACAATTGGTGTGAACTGGCCCTAAAAAGCTACAACATGATGGAAATATATATGTAACATACTGCATATGTTTTTTTCCCTGACATACCCTTAAAATGTGTCCAAAGCTTTTTGTATGCACCCAAAATGGCCCCCCAATTCTGTAAGTTCTCCTTTAGTACTTTAGTGATAATTGTTAGCATAGATCATCCAATGGTGGTGGCTACAACTCAGTTTTAGATTATTATAAATAGAGGGGTGTAGATCAGCTCAGTCAGGACGAAAAGGGTGGTTGTTTTTGTGTGGGGTCAGAAGTCTATGGTGATCTGCCTGGGTGCCATCTGTTGAAGGTCTGGCATAGGCTTATACTGGTGCCATCATCTGCCCAGAAGAAGTAAATGTGTGTGCCATCATTACTGCCAGGACAGATGGAGCTTTGTTGGTGCAATCATCAGTTTGGGAATTGAGGATTATGCCTGCGTTATTATAAATCTTGAGGAAGATGCATGTACCATGACCAATCTGTGGAGACATGATGTGCCAGAGGAAAGGTCTCACTGGTAAGAAGCCACTATTGGAAGTAAAGCCATCTAAGCTAACATTAGATAATAAAAAAAAGGTAAAATGTTGAGGAAAGCATTACCTTGACAAAACCATAGTGAGGGGCTAAATATATGCTTTTGAGATGTCTTTTTTGTGACTACATGTATTACACAGCACAGTCAGCAGTGGCACTAAATAAAAGATTGTAGTAAGCAGGTCTTGGTATGATAGTTTTGGGCTTCAGCGTTAGTTTCAATAATGTTATTATACGGATGACAGTAAATTATGCTCTTAAAGCGTTAGGCTACGTTCACACCAGATGCAGTGCGTTCCGGTCCGATTCTGGCCAGAACGCACTGCATCGCATTGCAGCCGGCTCACTGAATGGCAGGCCATTGAAGTGACTGGCACCGTAGCCACGCCCTCCGGCCGCAATGCAATCGCCCGCACGGGATCGCAAGGCACATTCTGCCTGCGGTCCGGTCCGATCAAAATAGTGCTTGCAGCACAAAAAAGTGAGCCGGCCGCAATGCGATGCAGAATCGGACCGCAACGCACTGCATCTGGTGTGAACCTAGCCTCAATACATTTCCCTGCTATTGAAAAGAGCAAAGGATCAATGCACACTGCTCCAATCAGACCCTAGCACTTCCTGGCACTCAATCAAGGATGGACAGATATAGCCTTGTCTTCTTCCTCCAGTCTTCTTGACTGACAAGATATCGGTCCTACCTAGGTCCACCCTTTAAGTCCCTAAAAAAAAGCTCTAACAAAATTAGCCTCTGTTCAGCTGTGTTTGATCTCTATGATATATTGTCCAGTTAATTTGTATTGTCATTGAACGGTTAGTTTGAATAGTACAGTTCCATGCAAAGATCTTGTTATTTTTTGGTTTACTTCCTTTTTACTTCTATGCTCACAGCTAATAATGTCAACAATTGTAACCCCCTCCTGACTAAGCACTTGGTTTTGTTAACAATCTGCTCATTTGATTTGGCATTTTACATAATCTTCCTCCAGGTTCTTGTGCAATATTGTATTTCCTATTACATGCATATACTCAAAACACATATTAGCTAAATTGCCTTTAAATAGTGTATTATTTCCATGTCACTGTTTATTTTAATGGAGAGACATGCAACCTTCTGACATTTATAATAAGCCAAATCCAGGATGCAGGAAGTGGTCATTTAATGTGACCTCAGTCAAGGTAGTTTAGACAGAGCAAGCTTTGTCTATATGAGACATTTTATAATACGAGAGATGTTATACCTAAAATAAGTGCAAGGAAGTAAAATGCTTGCCTTTAGAGTATTAACAGTTAAATCATTCTGAGCATTTCCACATTACCATAAATTGATTTATAAAATAACACAGGACTTCATTTATCAAGGTGCATAAAGTAAAAACTTTCTGTTCTGCCTGAAAATCACTATTAACCACTTGCTGTCCAAAACAATTTCTTATGATTTGCACACACATGATATAATCTAAAATGTTGGCTAGAAAACAGCATCAAACCCCCAATGATATATTTTCTGAAAGCAGAGGCCCTGTAGAATAAAAAAAAATGCTAGTTGCAAATTTTTATGTCACACGGTATTTGCACAAATGTTTATTAAACCAGTATTTTTAGGATAAGATACACTAAAATATTATTAGCTAAATTGCCTTTAAATAGTGTATTATTTCCATGTCACTGTTTATTTTAATGGAGAGACATGCAACCTTCTGACATTTATAATAAGCCAAATCCAGGATGCAGGAAGTGGTCATTTAATGTGACCTCAGTCAAGGTAGTTTAGACAGAGCAAGCTTTGTCTATATGAGACATTTTATAATACGAGAGATGTTATACCTAAAATAAGTGCAAGGAAGTAAAATGCTTGCCTTTAGAGTATTAACAGTTAAATCATTCTGAGCATTTCCACATTACCATAAATTGATTTATAAAATAACACAGGACTTCATTTATCAAGGTGCATAAAGTAAAAACTTTCTGTTCTGCCTGAAAATCACTATTAACCACTTGCTGTCCAAAACAATTTCTTATGATTTGCACACACATGATATAATCTAAAATGTTGGCTAGAAAACAGCATCAAACCCCCAATGATATATTTTCTGAAAGCAGAGGCCCTGTAGAATAAAAAAAAATGCTAGTTGCAAATTTTTATGTCACACGGTATTTGCACAAATGTTTATTAAACCAGTATTTTTAGGATAAGATACACTAAAATAAAATTTAGTGCACAGAAACAGAATATAATACCAATTTTTTTTGGTAAAATATAAAAGATGGGGTCACGTCAGATAAATGGATACCAAACGTGTCAAGCCTTAACCACTTGCTGACCGGGGTCAGCAAGTGGTTTACACCCCCATCCTATCCAGCCCATTTTTTAGTATTCAGCGCTGCAGTGCTTTGACTGACATTTATTCCGTCATTCAACGCTGTACTGAAATTAATTTTATACCATTTGGGGGTGAAGATGGAGCTTTTTTTCGTAGTATTTAATCACCACTTTTTTTAATATACTGTATAACTAAAAAAGTACCGAAAATTTAAAAAAAGACGGGTTGAACCCTTTCGCTGCCAAGCCCTGCGGAAAATTTTTCAAATCAGCTGGCCAAGCCATTTTTGCAATTTTTTCCTATTGATTTGATTTTCAACTACTGGGTTGCTAGCGTTTGTAAAAGACCCCCCAAACCATATATTTCCTGAAAGTGCAGGCCCGGTAGAATAAAAAGATGGTGATACTAAATTTGTAGGCCCTGCGATAATTGCGCAAATGTTTCTCAAATTAATATTAAACCGATAAAAATACACAATTCAATTGTTAAAACACACCAAAATCAGTATCCGTGCACACCAAAAAAAAATTCTGACTAAATCTAAAAGATAAAACTGTATTGAGTTAATAAATAACAAATATTAGCACATTTGTAATTGCGCCTTTTTGCGAAAAGGTAAAAAAATGAAGGTATGCAAAACTGTAAATAATCGACTTATGTAAAAAATTGTTTTGGTGTTTGTGTTGTGATAAAATGATGCAGATGTATATTTAATTGAAACACAAGGTACACAAGTCACAACGCATGGCAATGAGTCACAAAGCTTTGCCATGCGCTGCCACAGTTAATTTAATGTTTCATGATATCACAGCAGCTCCGCCGGGTTCTCAGTGTGTAATGACACTTCAGCATCTCCTGGTTACCTATTAACCATGGGACGCTGGATTGTCATTACACACTGAGAACCCGGCGATGCTGCCATGATATCACAGCAGCTCCGCCGGGTTCTCAGTGTGTAATGACGGTTCAGCATCTCCTGGTTACCTAGTAACCAGGGGACGCTGGACTGCAATGAGAGCTTGTCGGAGCCGACTTTGATATGACCGCCGGCTCCGACAAGCTCTCATTGTAATGACAGCTGGTCCTGTCCAATAGAAAACAGTTGGGCGGAGCTAGCTGTCACTGCTAACTCCGCCCAATCATTTTCTCCTTTTTTTCTCTCCTTTTTCTATTCTGCTCGGTACCACAGCGGTACCGAGCAGAATAGCTGAGCTGAATGGCGCTCAGCGGCATTCGGCTATTCACTCACTGCTGTTTGGGCCCTATGAGAATAGGCCGAACAGCAACGAGTAGCCTGCCGGAGGTTCGGCTAAGCCGATCCAGGTGTTGGATTAGCTAAGTCAAACTC